AATAAAATCTGTAAAATACTTTTCAAATATTTGGAAAAGAAATCTACAATTCGAACTAAAACCTAGGGCGAAACAATTGTGTATAAAATGATTAAAAATATTTAAATATACAATAGAAACTTTTCAAACAGATCTAGCAAAGAGTCTATAACAAGATCTCATTCTAATGAAACAATTTTTTTTTTTCACTCTTTTTAAACATACATTGTTATATAATTAATTTTTAACAAATCTTTCATTCGCATAAATATATCACACTATTCATAGGGGCAACATATGCAAGATTATCAGCTAAGTGATATGATTAACATATAAAACAATATAAACAAAGTAAACATATTAGAACTAACATACACAATAATACTAATACACATACACAAAAACATGAGGGCTCCTCATTTTGAGAAAAACTGATAACAAAATGTAGAGAAGGATTTTCTATTATTAAAAATATTATTTTATAAATAACTGCTATGCAATAATCAATGGATAAGGTCTTAAATAAATCCTTAAATAATTATTTGAGGGAAAGTAAATATATGATAATATATTTAAATTATATATATTATCATATAATAGATGATAATTAATAAAAAATACTAGTTTTAATGACTAAGATACATCAGATATCGAAGAAAATTTTAATGTTAATCTACATTTGCATGCTTTAGATACACGAGAATAAAAATAAATAACTCACAGCCAATAATCAAATGCTTAGATACTGCTCTATTTTATATTATTATTATTATTATTTTTAAGAAATCAATTATGAACAGTATAAAATCGTTCAGTTTATAATAAAAATTAAAAGTTTATATTCAAACACATACACATTTAATAAATAGAACAATCCCTACTCAGTAAAAATGATTGCTTTTCAAACTTAATAATACACAATAGATAATCGACAAACATTAGTCTTACAAACTTTACAATTTACAAAAAAAAAAAGAAAAAAATTCATTTGATAGACTATACTAATTATAAATAGCAAAAAAAGTTTACTAAACAATGATTTTAACACTTTTTAAAATATATATTTTTTAAATTTTATGAAATTCTTAAGATTAATATAGAATTCAAAGTTCATTCAATATACATAGAGCGAAAATCCATATCGAGAGTAAAGGAAATATAAAATAATTCATGATACTATAAGCGTAATCAGGTTTTTTTTTCTTTTTCTTTTTTCTCTTCTTCAGAATAATTTACAATTTTCAATTGAATAGAACACATATTTAATTAACTATAAGAATAAATTCCTCTGGAAAATTTAAAAAATACAACCATGTCTCTAACAAATACAAAATTCATAGACGATTGATTTTAAATTAAAAAACTTTTAAGCTTTTTTGTTTTCATCAATGTTCTCCTTTTTTTCTTCTTCTTCTTCTTAGAGAATGACTTTGATAAAATTAGTCGATATTTATTGTGTAAAGATCATCACAATTATAGCATTCTATGAAAATATAAGCTATAACATTACAATATATATATATATATATATGTATATAACACTTATTATTTTACAGAGATAGATTAAATAAATACTAACTATTTTATATTAGAGAAATACCACCCAAAGTTGTTATAAAAGAAAAGCTAAGTCCTCGACTTTTCATCATGAAAAGTAAGACAAAAGGCATTACATGGTCTTAAGTATATGTATATCTTGAAATAATTCTTTAATTATTGAGTATTCTTCTATTGGATATATTTTGTATATAAGATAATTTGCGTATGTAGGTCCGTTTTATTATTTTTATTCAAAGCGTTACGTTCCAAGAATGCTAACGTGAGTAAATGGTCAACTATAGTTATTCTCTGAAATTGAAACCTGTCTTAAAATCGTGAAGTTACAAAAATGAAATGAAGTTTTATCATTATCTACATAGTAAGGCTTATGATATGCTTTCAGATGTATTTTCATAATCACCTAAATATTTGAAAAACCACCAATGTAAACAGTATTGCTTTTTATTCTATGATTATTCTATAACTTTGAAATGTATATTTTTCTTTTCCGTTGTCAATTTTTTTGTTTTTTTTGTTTGCTGATATATATTTATAATTTTCTTGATTAGAGTGAATTTTCAAGAAATATTTAATATGTTTCAAGCCCGATTCTTCAAGTGAAAAATATATGCTATTTTGTAATTTGTAGAAGTACTTATAATACTTTCTTTTAAATGAATATTAATTATCATTATTATTATTAATGGCAGCAACGGAAATAAAATGATAAAAAGAATTAAAAATTAAAGAAAAATGAATGAATATTACTTAGGTAAATATGTTCTGAAGAAACTAAACTGACTTATTCTTGAAAAAGTTTTCAGCAAAGTTCTAAATTTTACAGTATGGATCACAATAAACACAGTAATTCATTATATTATTTTTGTTTTAAATTATTTTTCTTTACTGGATAGGATTTTTCAGAGGTTGTAATACCTCAGTTTGTTCATATTTTGTTAAAATAATGAACTTTTTTAGTACAAAAAGATAAACTGAAAACCAAATGTTTTCTCTTTATACAGTAACAAGATTTCACTTTTCATTTCTAAGAAGAAACCAATATATAAGTCTGCATATGCAAGCAAGCATATAATTATGATTATGACTAGGATACAGATTGATTTTTAAACTTCTGACTGATATTTGTGAATAGTTGAACTAAGAGAAATTACAACTATTAGAAATGGAATTTTTATTTATTTACTTTCCTCACTCGAACAAATTCTGCATCAGTAAATGAATTTTGAACGAGCATCTTTACCTTGCTCCTTATAAGAATTATTTAATGACATAAAGTCTTGAAACACTTATTTAACGGCAATGTGAAACCTCATCTCACAAGTACAGTGCTGATAAGAACTTAATGTTAGCGATTAATACAGTAACACAAGACCATCGAGCCCTCACAAGGAACATTAAATTCACAAGTTCTTTTTCATATACATATTAATATTAAATTATAAAATTGATGAACTAGTGGTAAATAATATTTTAAAATTTATAACCTACACTTTATTGCTAATCACTAAATATATCTATACTTAATTAAAATTGGCAGCACTAATGAAGATGAAATAAATACCACTGTCATACTTGCCGAAGTTTCTATTCTTAACAAGTCGGCAGGAAAAAACTACACGGTCAAGAAATATATGTAGTTGAAAATAGCTAATTATGATAACCTAAGAAATTCTAACGAGCAATTACAAAAAAAAATGAATGAATTCTTATCTAATATTTATTGATTATTTTTTAATGCATCGAATTATATAAATAAAATTATTAATCAAAACTTATTTTTGGGTTACAAAAAAACTTAATTCTGGAAAGACTGATAAATGATTATTTCTAATACTATAATGTTCTAAATGTTGACAAAAATCCATAAAAAGTTAGGTAAATATACATAGACTGAAAATAGAATTATGTCGATACTTCACAAATATGGTTGTATGGCATTTTAATGTAATTTTTTTTTCTGCTTCGTACTGTTAAGGCACGCAGAGTGATTAGGCTCTTGAGTTTGTGCTGTCAATTTACGTTCATGGTATTAAGGCACGCTGATAACCATGAGCGCATCTTTGAGTGGTTATTGATTATAATCTTGCTTTCAATCAACGTCAAAATCAAGTATGCAAAGTATTTCAGACAATTATTACTTCAATTTCAGTTAATAAGCGTTATCAATTTCAATCACAAATATCAACACGCTACGAAAGTAAATAGTATTCCCTGGGTTATATTAAAACATTAAATGTTATATATTCTAATAATTTTTTTTGTTTGCTTTTTTTATTAAATTTTTAAATTATGATATTCTTTTATTTAATGTATATGGTAATGATTTTTTTCTGGATTATAAACATAAATAAATATAACTTTTTTTTCAAGATGAGATAACTAATCAGTAGAACATTTGGAGTAAATAAAAAAGAAAATGGTTATCATAATATTTTTTTAACTATTCATTATCATTTAATCAATGAATTTAACCTCAACAAGAGAATTTGAATATACTGTACGCAAAGTTAAACTTAAAAAATGAATAATAATATTAAAATGTGGCAAACTATTTTTTAAAGTTTAAGAGAAGTGTAAACACGTTGATATGAAAGGTGAATTAAAGAAATAATATTTAGTACATAACCTATTAACAAAATATAAATACATTAATTCCATAAGTCAGATCACAATTGTTTGTAAATATACTTATATTAATGACTTTGAATAAAATAATACTAAAATACCAGCTCATAGAATGAACTGCAGATGATAAAGTTAAAAAAAAGAGCATCTTATTTTCAATCACTTTTCAAATATTCTAGGATGTGAATATTATAAAAATAAAATAACAAAAATCATAATTCACACGGTTAAAGTTCTACATTGATTAAACTAGATTGCTACACACAAAATATTAAAAAAAAAACGTGACAGGTACTATTAAAATCAACAAAAGCATATTCAATTACAGACTTATTCTAAGATTTGTCAATGACACATTTCAATCGTAATATGATTAGGCCCATGATTAAGTTATATAAATAAACTGATAAACTAAAAAAATATGAAAATGTTGAGTTTAAAAAAAAAGAAGAGATTTTTTAGGATCATAGAATTTAAAGAGCGTTTGTAATTTCAAAGTGCTCTCAGAGTTGTAGTCTCAGACTGGGCAAAGCCGCCATTTCAAAGAATGATAGAAAAATTGAACACATTTTTCCTACTCAATGCTAATTATTATATACAGAATATATATATATTCGTACTTACAAGTAGACAATGAAAAGCTTCCAAATTTTATTATTAAACAGATATTGAGATGATGAAAAGTGACTAGATTTTATAAGTTGATAGCAATAATATTAATAATAATTATAATTATAAGCAATAAATTACATTTATACAATACAGCAAATTGATAGATGTTAATCGTACTGTTGAAATCATTTAGGAGCCCTCTCGATACAGAGGAAAGACCAACGTCACAGCTTTTCAGATTTACGCTCCCCAAACTTGCAAGATGAAACTTGTACGGGGAACGAGGTAGTTCTTCTAGCTGACCTAAAAATTAAAATTAAAAAAAAACAAATTAAAAGTTTAGTTTAACTTTTTCAACTAATAGAACTGACGAAAAAAAAAGAAACCCTCAAAATTACATTATTAAAAATTGATATTACAAAAAAAACCTCATACTTTCTATTTTCTTATAAAGTGGGTTTAAAATCAACCTATCCAATCCGTTCATGTTATATTTTCATATAATTGGGTACAATACCAATAGAAAGTTTTTGAAAATTTAATTATTTATTATTTTTTTAGAAGTTTAGGTAATAACAATTAAACCGCAAAAAGTCTTGGATTTTTCAGATGCATATTTGCAAAGAAAATTAGTGTTACAGAGAAGTGGAGGGACTGAAGCTGCACCACGACACAGAAGATACAGTTACCTCATGGCCAACGACCAGCTCATGACGCTGAATAACTTATACTTTTTAGCTTAGAAAAAAGTTTCCAGCTTAAAAATTTCCACCCAAGGAATATGTTTGTGTTTTTTTTTGTCTCATACTATCATCTCTGAATAGAATATATTTAGTTTTAAATGTATTTTATTAGTTTTTATAAATGAGAGCAGAGAAAAGTTTAGGGTAAAAGCACCAACAGTGTAGTAATACCTGACATCCTCCTCGAAAAATGGGAATAATAAAATTTCAAGGCCTCCTAGCATCTATTTCATATATTTTTTGTTTCTATATTTTCTCCTTGTATATTTGCCTGCTTGCCAGAGATTGCAACCAAAATAATGAGTGGCAAATTAGGAAGGTCCCTCAGAGTCCATTTAGTGTCCCAGGAACAACCATCTGTCAGTAAGAGCACCATACCTAAGGTTTCCCTTCTTCTGTTTAATTACTTCAGATTTATCCAAAAATGTTTGTTTGATTGTTTTTAGCAGTGTTTTTTAATTATTTTTTATCTGTTTTTTACTTATTTTGATGAAGGAATTGGATATTTAATGGATATCAGCTACTGGAGCCTTATAATGGGGATTCTTGCCAGTAGTTGACAGGCCTGTACTCTATTAAATTCAAAGTGATACTCAATATAATGGGTCTTTAAAATGGGACCATTCACTACTGTCTCGTTAAAAAAAAAAAATAAAAAAAAAAATAATTCATAATTATTTTTAAGGGACCTTGTCCCAGAATAAAGTTTATTTTCTATTTTCTATATAGTTTTATAGTACTTCAATGAATGTTCTAATTTTTTTTTTTAGAATAAAACATAAATAAAAATTAAATTAAAGAACTACCATGCAACAATAACAAAAATAAATATACACACCATGCTATAAACATTTATATACATTAAGTCTACAATTGTTTAAATAATTCTACAGAATTCTAAGTTTCAAAAAATAAAAAGTGTTAAATTAAAATAACAATAAAGAACAAACACAAGAACAAAAACTTCAAGTAATGTAAAATAATTCATAAGATATTAGCAAAAAAAAAAAAAAAAAAAATTAAAACAACAAAGAACTGGAGTGTTAGTTAGACATACATTTGTAATTACATTAAATATATACAAAAAAGCCTAACAAATACAACAATTTTTGGTTACCACAATACTCTCCTTCCGTCCCATTGAAATTGAGACGATTTTTTACTTTAAGTCAGATATTGTGAAGCTATCAATTCAATTATATTTACTACGTCCAAGTCACTCCATCTAGCAATGTTCTTCCATTAGCATAAGTGGCCACATTTGATATGTATACAGAGCAACAGCTTTTATAAATTGATAAATTCTCATTATTACTTATGAAGAGGTACCCTTGGATGCAGCATAAGTGTATGCCAGGTTGTTACAGCATTATTATTTAATTTCAATATTTACTATTTCAAGTCAAAATTGCTAATTCGGTGGATAGACTTTCTTAGGTAAGGGATGGCCGAGCAGGTTAACACGTGTGCAAAAAATATGTTCCCGGGAACCAACTTGATAAACCAACGATTACGAGGATCTTGACCATGACTAATTCTTTTTTTTTTTCTATCTTTCAAAGGTAGTGGCCTCGAAAAATCTCAAATTAAGGATGCACAATACTACGATAAAGCTTGCTCTGTACAATGATGATAAACATTGTACCCAGTGATGCTCCCATCTCTAACCTAACCCGTCCAAAAAGTACTCAGCGTTTTTATCTGCAAAATAATTGTTCACGAAGGTGATTGCCTCTTTATTTGACGAAAATCTCTGTCCTCCGATCGCAATTTTTAGATAAGAGAACAAAACGAAGTCGCTTAGGGCTAGATCTGGTGAGTAAGGCGGATGGTCAAGCAGTTCAAACCGTAATTCGTGGATTTTTGCCTTGGCAACCGCTGAGGTGTGAGACGGTGCATTATCTTGGTGAAACAGGATTTTCTCTCATAGTAGGATTTAGTCTCATAGTCATAGTAGTGGATCTTACATATCTGGAAGATATGTAAGATCCACTACTATGACCAAGGTATTCCCGATGAACACAAAATAGAAATTGATAAACAATAAAAAATCATTTCCCTCCCCTCCCCCCAAAAAAATCATTTTTCCCAATTACCCAAACATGTTAGCTTCCCCTATATCTGACCTTAGCCTTGGTTTTCCAGTTCTAAGTGAAACTCCTAGCTGAACACACCTGTAAGTCTCTAATTTTATTCTTCCATTTTATTTACTTATTTATCTAATTTTTGGTCTCCTTTTTCTTTTCTTTCTCCACATTCCTTTATGTCTATTATTTCATATTATACCCTTTTTCCTTTTCTTTCAATCTCTCCTATAGATTTGTAGAAGTATATTCACATTTGCATTTATTATATATTACACTACAACAATTGTTAGCATCTATTTACTTCAGTTTAGGATCTTGTTACTCAGCTTACTTTGTTCATACTTTATTGTACTTACTGTTTATAATTTTAATAAGCTTATTCACATTGTTTATAAATTTTTTCTAAATATTATGTAACTGCCACAATTCTATATCTTTTTGTATCTTGTCCATTCTAGCCCTGAAGAAGACCTGCAAAGTCTGGTCAAAACGTCGGCTTTCAATAAAATAGTTTTACCACTATTAAGCCTATTTATGACCCCAACCCCGGACCATCATTATTTAAACTTTTATTGATTCATTCCTCATGCTAGTATCCTTGGTCTTATCCTTTACATTGTTTATACAGATAACATTCCAACACATCCTAATACCATCGTTACCACATACACAGATGACACATGTGTGTTAGTTGATAATATCTCATTTATTGCTTCCCAAACTCTTCAATCATACATCAGAAACCTTTAAGAATGGTATCAAATCTGGAGGATTAAAATAAATTCCAACAAATCCCATCAAAACACCTTTACTCTTTATTGTAAACCTATGACTTCCTGCCCTACAATATCCTGTAATAATACTCCACTTATTCCTCTTGAATATATTTCCTACCATCTGGATAAATGTCTTACTTGCAATCCCGACAAGAAACTGCTAGACACTTCTGGCTACTTCAAAAATTACTAGCGATACGATCCAAATTACCAATTAACTATAAAAGACTCATTTACTTGAGTTGTGCTTTAGGGCTCACTAAACCATTAAAGTCCTCTCGTGTGTAATCCTTACAATCCTAAATTCTTTACAAAATCCGTAATGCTCCTTACTTTGTCACAAATAAAAATATCTATAATGATCTTAATATTCCATATGTTTTTTTTTTCGTTCTTCCCTACCTCACCTTTAAGGCTATACGGGTTTTTTCCCAGGCCAGGGGGTGAGGGTGGGGAATTTTGAATGGCGTCAGAGAATTCGGTCAGATTGAAGGAGAGATAAATCTTGACGTCGTCGGCATACAGATGGTATTGCCAGTGGAGGATAGAGGATGGGAGGTCATTGATGTTGATGGAAAAAAAGTGTAGGAGATAAGGAGGAGCCTTATTTACCGTTGCCGGGCAACTCGCAATGCTTTGCACACGCATTAGTCCGTTCAGCCACCCTGCCCTCCAATGTTCTCAATTTAGCCCAATCCAGATACCTATCTTTCCATAGTAACCTTCAAATCCATCCAAAACCACTTGTTTCTAACCTTTTGAATCCATATCGATTCCTGACAACCCTCCTAGGCGTCTGAAAAGAAGATGGCATCGGGACCTTTTTAAATAGATCTATAACTAGAGTGCAACCAATGGGTAGTTTCTCTTCATGTCTGTACATGTCATACAAATTCACATTTACATGTTATATTTTAGTTAATAGGGTTGTCAACATCAATAAAAAAAAAAAAATTGATTCAGGTTACTTAATTAAAAATAAATTAACATTCCAGTTCAATGAAAAAAAAAAAAAAATGATAACATGTGAGAAATAGAGGCCGAGTAGAATAATAGAGTACCTTCTGCTTTTCATCGATCGATCAAATTCAATGAGACAGTGCAAAAAATAGGCTGTGTGATTCGACATCATAACAGGCATAATAATAATAATTCATTACACATTTATTATTCTGAGAAAACAATACAATATAATTGACATTTACATGCTTGTTGTTAGGACTCACATTTTTTTTATTAAAGTATTATATTAAACAGTCACTGTGTTCCCAGAAATGTTAAACACTGTTACCAATATAATTCTGATTACCTCGTCAACAAGTCGACGATTCTATAAATGATAACAATGCCACTTTTTAAAGAAAATCTTGGTTAAGTCTCAAACATCTGATCTCTTTGCGACCATCCCACTGCCACATCTGTTTTATAGATAATAAATAGAAATGTTTAAATGTTAAATTAAGAAAGCAACCGTTTTGAAAAAAATAAATAAATTTACAAAATAATAATAATAATAATAATAATCTACTCAACCTCGATTTACTAAGTCAAGTAAAAATCAAAAATAAGTTGCTCGACTTAAGTAGATTAACTGTTTGCATGTTTAATATTTTGAATCATTATTTAATCTACCGTAGTCGATTTGGATAAATTAAATTTATCTTAATATCTTACATCTAAACAATGGATCATAGACATGCTAGGTTTTTCCACAACAAAGTCAACATAAGTTTTTTTGTTGTTTATATACAGCTATACTACCATAAGAAAAAGAAAATTAAAGAAAAAAAAATGACTTTCCATTAGTTTTTCATTTGATGACCAATTAAAAAAAAAAAACATTGTGAAAATTAAATGAAAATATCTTAACTCACATAATATGCAGTGGGAACCTACAATGCACGAATAATTATCTTAAATATGTTTCAAATCTTAATAAAATGATAAAGTGCATCTACAAAGATCTAGATTACCATAATGGAAAAAATAATAAAACTGATAATAAAATTTAAAATAAATTGTAAATCAGTTTTGAAAAATAAACTTATAGTTATGGAGCTATTAAAATAATAAAAACAAAAATCATTAAAATAACTTGATGAATTATAGCCAGTTACAGAGTTAAGGTTAATTTACAGCCTTTGATGACCTTACTCCTAATTATTATTAATATCATTATAATCAAATAATATTAATTAAATATTACAAAACAAATAAAAAACTATAATTTTATTATAAAGCTAATGATATTCCGATCATTTGGTGATATCCTTGAGACAATACTTTGTACTTTCTGTTTACACAGATATTGCTTGGTCAGGCTTAATCTGCGAGTGAACCAACAAATTTTAATTTTAACTGTTTCATAAATTCATAAAACAGGAGTTTTCAGAATTATGGAGGACAAAGTACGGTATTGAATTTTTTTACATAAGACAGGGAGATATCGTACTTCTATAATTCATTAAAATGTTTATAAAATTTCCCTTTTTAAAAAAATAAAATGTTTTGCGTTTTAAATTATTTAATCGCAGTTTGTATTATACTTAATGTATGTATGCATAATTTATTAGAGAGTAAAATTTTTGTATTAATGGTTGATCGGGATCGAGCTTTGGGGCTCTACTAAACCATCAAATTCCTCTCGTATCCAATCCCTACAATCCAGTATCCTTCATAAAATCCTTAATGCTCCCTACTTTGTCACAAATAAAATCATCCATAATGACCTTAATGTACCATATGTTTCCGATTTAGCTCAATCCAGATACCTGTCCTTTCATAATAAACTTCTGAACCATCTGAACCCTCTCGTTTCCAACCTTGCTTCCTCTTCTATTCCTGATAACCCTCCGAGGCGTCTAAAAAGATGGCCTCGGGACCTTTTAATATAGAAATATAATTGGAGTGCTACCAATGGGTAGTTTCTCCTCATGTTGTACATGTCATATTACTTGTTCATATTTACTTGTTGTATTTATTATTAACTACTGTTGTAAATTTCGTAAATAAAAAAAAAAAAAAGTTGATATTAGTATATTCCTATTGTTAGACATTTTAATAATTGTTATATTTTTTTGTGCGTGAAAAATAATATTTATTTATAATCAATGTTTAATTAAGTGATATTTAAATATAATGTTTGCTGCTGGGCTTATCCCTGACCAAGAGTATAGTGCAACTATACTCTTATTATAGTTGTTGAGGTTATATAGGACAAATGGCCCAATATTTTTGTAGGCCATCTTTTTTATTTTTTTGACCAAATTATCTTACAGTAAAAGTAGAAAGAAAATGGGTATTTACAAGTTTTTAGTACCTATTTAAATAGACAAATTTTGTGCTCCTCCAGATTGAAAACTCCCCAATTTCAAGAGTTTTCCTAAATAAAATAGTTGTAGGTTATAATGAGATGAAACTATTTACGAAGTTTCAGGCAGATGTTAATAATTCGATAAAAATGGGTCTGTATCACGGACTATATGTATTTTTCTTCCTCAATAAATAAATGCATTATTATTATTATTATTGTTATTATTATTAATTCACAAAATGAGAGAAACATAAACAAAAAATCTAAAGTAACAAATTTCTATTCGATGGATAAATTCATTTTTAATCCAGAATGAAGCTTAACCCTTATCTCTGCAACTGGCCACAAAAATTAGATATTTCATTGGTACAAATGTATTATTAAATAGATTATAAATAAATATATTATAATCTAAACATAATATAAAATTAAAATAAACAAGCTTGATTTGAAAAAAATTAAATAAAAAATAAGACACTTTTACTCGAACTATCAAGACATGCTAAGCCATAATATTACAGTTATATGAATCTAAGAATAATTAAAATTAAGAAATAAAAGGGTCTTTCATTTCTTATTATCATAGATACAAATATTACAGTTTTTGTACTAACAAAAAACGTAAAACAAACCGAATGAAATATTAAATATACAACAGTTTACATTAACTTCCAAAATATAAATAAACTTTTTCAAATTTTTCCAAAATGTTTTCGAAAGATAATGATTTGGAAGTTAAAATATAATAGCCTTCATACTTTTGTTCTCGTATTTAATAAATGTTTGACATTTCGGTCCAACTGCCCATAGTCAAAAACATATCAATTTTTTTAACATTATGGTTTGTTTCATTTAATATAGTATATATTGACTAATTTCTTTATGTTTATAGTTTTAATCCATAAGTATTTATCTATATATTATTATGTTCCTTTGACTTATCATTAGACCATCAAAATTTAAATTGAACTGATCATATATATCATATTATGATATTGTTAATACAAAGATAAGAAGAGGACATGACAGCTGAACATGATGGAACGAGGTTAAAAAAGTTGAGATGTTTTTATAAAATGAGCAATTGGTCTGAAATGTGAAATATTTAGTAAAAATTATGATAAAAATATAAAGGCTATTATACTTATATATATTATCAACTTTCTAAACATTATCAATTATAATCCATTTTTTTTTTTTTTAACCATAACAATATTTTATTACGTTTCCGAATTATAAATGAAAAACATTCTGGACAAAAGCAGTCTTGCCCATATCTTCAAATTAGTAATATCATTATTAGAGAATGTAAAATATTGAAAAAAATGTATTACTAAATTTTATACATCTGAAAATTTCAACATTAAATAAAACTCTGAAGATATAGGTAAATAATTACCTGCGCCGTCGAATCGATGCGGAATGACTGAAAGCAGCTCGTGGAACAAGGACCATCCTCGCATTGCCTTGCGCTGGTCTGGATCCACCATGTGCGAGTAAAGTGCTCAAATGTGCTGCGTATCCGTCGCTCAAAACAGTTGCGTTTGATTGATGTTTTTTGGATACTTTTCCAACAATGAAAATTTCAAAAGGTTTAAGCCCGATCGAACTGTACACTGATATGTCCTTATTACTTCCATATGCGGCATGAATGATCACGTTATGGTCCTAGAAAAGAAATTGATACATTAAAATATTTAAATTTTAGATTAATTTTTTATGATATTTATGATATTTACAACTCTATACAAAAAATACATCTGGTAAATTCGCACATGGATATAATGACATGAAACACATGTTGAGAAACTACCCATTGGTAGCACTCTAATAATATGTCTATATTAGGAGACCACGTGGCCATCTTCTTTTCAGACGCCTCGGAGGGTTATCAGGAATTGAATAGGAAGCAAGGTTACAAACAAGAGGGTTGGGATGGTTATGAAGTTTGTTATGGAAGGACAGATATCTGGATTGGGCCAAATCTGATACATAAGGAACATTAAGGTCATTATGGATGATTTTATTTGTAACAAAGTAAGGAGCATTGAGGATTTTACGAAGGATTTTGGATTGGATGCGAGAGGAATTTGAAGGTTGTATATATTACAAATAGTAAATAGTATTGGTATGTTTTTTTTTCTCAAAAAAGCGCTGTTTTCAGTCCATTTTGCTGAAATTTTATGCATTATCCTTCTTTGATTTTCTCCTTTGATACCTTCTCACTCATTTTCCCTCATTTCGATTATGGCTGCGTTGTATACAGTGTACTATCTGGTGGGCTTGAGATCAGATTAAAGAGACTAATGAATTGTTTTATTTTTAGAGTCCCCAGGCATTCCCACGTCTCCAGTTGGTATGCAAGTTGAAGTGGCTCTAACCAGTTTTCCGACGGCAATACTTCCTAAGTGTATTCCTTTTTCGAACCTTTTCAACTAAAAAAACCTTCTTACCTTCTCGATTTATTTACTCCTTGTTCCTATGTCCGTTCGTTCAACACGAGATCCCAGCCCTCAAACCTATTTATTCCTTCTCATAGAACTGTTTCCTTTAAAAAATCATTTGTCCTACGTGCTGCTACCTTTTTTTGGAATTCCCTACTAACTTCCATCCTTGACCTCATTTAAATATAATTTATTTATCCATCTCCTTAGCAATCAATCTTCTGAATATGTGTAAATAATGTTAACATTTTTCAGACCTGTCAGTCGCATTTAAAATATGTGAACTTCGCATATCTGAATTTATCTATAATTTCATATCAGTGCCTTTTCTTTATTGTAATTTTATATCTAGATAAACCTGTAATTTAATTTATTTCTAATGACAGACAATTTTCATTAAATTGTACATTGTAGTTATTCTAAGGGGACTTAGTCCCAGAATAAAATTTATTTTTCTTCTTCGCGATTTTAACATAACGACCAGTGCCATTATTGACAGCCAAAGGTGGATGAATACGACGAATTTTACCCCTTCAAGATCATTCATTATAAAGGATATCCCCTGTATATTTATTTCAAATTTAAAAAAGAAACTTACATACTAAAGAATTCCCTGACTTTTCTCATTTTTCCAGGTTGGTCGTCACCCTCAACAAGACTGTTTTAGCAAACAAGTAAGTCTTGAGCGAATACAAAAATGAATTAGTGTAAGTTCAGGAATAGCTGTGTCTTATAGCTTAACTATTAAACTGGAGGGATATTTTCCAATGGGTCAAGCTAATAGCTTATTAAGTAAAGTGTTACTTTAACAGTTGTGGTGAAGAATAAAGCTTCGTCAATCGTGTTTGTTGAATCGACTATATTGATAATATTATATTTTATAATAGAATAAAAATGTTTTGCTGATGTCGCTTATGCATCAAATGCAGTAGGGAGAAGGACCGCTATCTAATGCGAGAGTTCTCGCTGAGTTTTCTTTAAATGAAAGCATATCATCATTAATATCTTACTGTAATTTAAATTAGATATCAATTAAATTATTTAATTAATTAAATGAATATAAACATAAAATTACTTGAATTAATCCTTTGAGGTAGGCAGCTTTGTGACCGAGAGGATCCGTTGAAAGGCCATCTGCGAAAGACACAAGTCCATGAGGGAAGTTATGCTGGGCCAGCCAAGACAAAACCCTACACTGCTGCATATCGGGCCTTCCAGTTATGTATATAATTAAATAACCAAGTTCTTGCCAATGCCTGTATAATAATGAAAAGAAATTCGAATAATAAACTCGTAAATTCTCTCTATATAAAAAAAAATAGATAGTAGCTATTAATGTATTTATATTTCAATTATAACTTTGTTACTGTATACGATATTTTTATTTTAATTTTTAAAAACCAAATATAAAAATAATATATGATAGAGAAATCACAGATCTGAATAGATATTAGTTGCTAATAAGAAGTACACTCTAATAACTGATGCTGAGGAAAACATTCTTCTTTACTTAGGTTTGATAACCTAACAATTACTTTACATTTTTTTTTTTTTTTAAACTTTTATTATGATATTTACAACAGTATTAGTATGAATACATCAAGTAAATGTGCACAGAGGAATATAATCACATGAAACACGCTTGTTGAGAAACTACCCATTGGTAGCACTCTAATAATTTGTCTACATGAGGAGATCATGAGGCCATCTTCTTTTCAGACGCCTCGGAGGGTTATCAGGAATCGAAGTGGAAGCAAGGTTAGAAACAAGAGGATTCGGATGGTTATGAAGTTTATTATGGAAGGATAGGTATCTGGATTCGGCCAAATCGGAAACATATGGAACATTGAGGTCTTTATGGATTATTTTATTTGTGACAAAGTAAGGAGCATTGAGGATATTACAAAGGATTTTGGATTGTAAAGATTGGATACGAAAGGAATTTGATGGTTTAGTGGATCCCCATAGTTCAACTCCATAAGTCCAAATAGGTCTTATTATAGTCATGTATATGAGTCGTTTGTAATTCATGGGAAGTTTAGAGCATTTGTCCAGTAAGTATTGGAGTAAATGTAAACGTCGAGCAGTTTCTTGTCGTTTCAGTCTTGTATGAGGATTCCAAGTAAGACGTTTGTCCAGCTGGAGTCCGAGGTATCGGATTTGTTCTACAGGGATAAGTGGGGTGTTATTAAAGGATACTATAGGGCAGCAAGTCATTGGTTTACGATGAAGGGTAAAGGTACTTTACATTTTAAACTCTTAATAATCTCTTGAAGTAGATACCTTACCTTACAACATCAACGGCACCAGCTCTGACTTTAGGATCTTTTCCGGTTACGGAAACGCTTGCTGTGAACGATCCGTCTATACTAAAAACAACACACTCGGTTCTAGGCGGAACAACAGCTATGGAAAAGTCCACCCAGGTATGGTCTCCTCTGGTAAAAATAATAAATACTTTATATAGAAGCATAAATATAAATTATACAAATTTAAAAATTCGAAAATTGGTTATTCAAGGTCATGAACATTGAATCTTTATACATAATATCGTCGGCTTATAGCCGATAGTCATCAAGTGCATTTTTGATATAGGTTAACTTTCACATATGTTTAGGTGGATTTCGACCTAATTTATCTATTTAAAAGGATATAGTAAGTGCATGAAAATGACAAACACCCTTTTATTTATCATATATAGTTACACTAAGTGCAAAATTTTCTGATATAACAAAGGGAAAATTCATCAAAGTTATTATTACCTTAATTATTTGAGGTTATGAAATATCACTTAATGATCTTTTGCAATAAACCGACGATATACAGTTACATCAGATTATTACCTTACAACCATTTTGACTGGATACAGGCCATAGCTGAGTTGTTTAGAATCAGGAATAGCATACGATATTCTTCCAGTTTTATCTGTGACTTCTGTAGAAAAATGGACCCATTCTCCACTTGAAGGTTCTGTCATTATGTGGATATCAACTTTTTCTCCTGAAAATTGTCCAAATAAATATATCAAGTAGATTTTTTAAATGATATATTAAAGTATCAAGAAAATAGTAATACATAATATGCTAATGTAACCAAGAGACTTAATAAATATACCTGCCAAAGTGATCATGTCCAGGGGCCCATACATAAATCTGGCCATAACGACTTGTTTTGCGCCTTCTTTAACAATTACATCATTTGCACGATGATTTGCCGTAACATTCTAAAAAAAAAAAATTTAATCCTGTTTCTCTCCTTTCATATTTTTGTTATCTTATCGTTACTCCAAGATAATGGCCGGTTTCAAGATCGCTTCAAACACTTTTTAATGTGATCTTGTTAAAATATTATTGGAAATAAATAGAACCCCAAGGAATGTAGGAAGTAGCCAGGCATTGTCAATTGTATTCATATAAAAATAACAGATATGTATTAACCCCACACCATCTCTCACAACCAAATTCAACCAGCATCTAAAACACCTTCCCGATACTAAAGAAATTAAAATCCCAACCTATATAAATCTTGTCTCTTATAATTCCACAGCTCCCCGGTGCTAGGGCTTACCGAAAATCCATAAACCAGGCAATCCTCTCCGACCTATTATTTCCAACATTAACTCTCCATCTTCTAAACTCAGTAAATTTCTTTTCCCTACCATCCAATCTCTCAGTCAAAACAATCCGTATGACATTAAAAATTCTTTCCACCAATTAGATCAACTAAAATCCTTGCTAAAAATGTACAAATGTGGAAAAACTGAAAAAAGTATTTTTTCATTTTGGTAGAAAAATGGGCTTGACTGTAGATAATACGTAAACGGCTATGAAAAAATACATTTAAATCTAATTAAAATTACACCAGTCAATTTAATCACTCGTGTCATAATAGTAACTTGTGCTACATAATAAAAAATAAATAGGAGATGTTACTTATCATTGGCTGAAAACATAAAAATTAAGTTTATTTTCATACCTATTTCCTAGAAAGAAGCTAAGTTCAGACAAACAGCTCAAAAACATTTCGATAAATCGCTTCACACTGTTATTTATTCATATAAAAAATTGAACTTAAGCTGACTTAACCTGATCATACAAAATCTAATCACCTATAAAGAGTAAGGATGGGCTGTCTATGATTCTAACACACTCAGGTTGTTTCAGATTTTCACCTATAGTGGGCTTGAAGTGATCTTGAAACCCGTCGCCATTTTGTAATAACAATCTAGAACAAGTACTTAAATAAATTATTAATAATCAATTTAAATAAGATTTTTGGTAACACTATGCAGCTGTTACTCCAACTTTGATGAGTGAGCTATAATTGGGATTTTGTGAACAGCCGAAGATTGATGTGTTCACAAAATAACCTCCATATATTAAGATTGACATTTACGACTTAAGCAAACTTCCAACTATTTCTTTTCAGTTGAAATCTGGGCATTAATCAGCTTTAATTACATTACTGCTTTATTCGCTCCAAAGGGATGAACACACCCCCACAGGGGTTGGAGCCTTAGACGATTCTTTCACTTCCGTCTACTTTCGGATTTCATTTATGGATCATGAGATCTTGTCCAGTAGTACCAGATTTTTTAGTTTGTTCTTTATTACTAGCCTGGAAGACAGTATTCTGTTATCTATTATTTTCTTTTATATAAAAACAAAATAAAAGATTGAGTTGACTATTTTACACATAGTTTACCACAAATAAAGCGAGAGTCTAAATGTAGTCAGTATATTTTTTGTCTTCTTCCTCCTTCTTAGCTCAATAATTTGAACTAGCCATACTAAAATATTTATTTTACAAAAAAATTAAAATTTCCTCAGTAACTCTAATTTTACTTGTGTTGCCAATCACATGTTTTTTAAACCGCATAAATTAAAGTACCAAAAGTTATTATTCAGTTTAAAACATAATTTCCCTCTCAATATAACTTTTATTTTTAATAAACTTTAATTTCATTTATATAAGATCATTAGAAACAAAAAACAAAACAGCTTCTTTTTTTTTTTGCACCTGATACTGATTTACCCTTCAAAATATAATCTTTCGATTCAATTATAATGAAAATACAACCTGAATAAAGAACCACTATCAAAAATAATTTTCTGTTTGATGTAAGAACGTTATTAGATTATTGTTATATATAAAAGCATTTAAGGGTAAGTGTTAATTAATTAATTAATTCTACATTTATCTTCATCAACAATATTATTATTATTATGTCTATTATTAATCAATAGAATTAATATAAATTGACATTTATCTTTTCAGATAACAATCAATCTATTCAATTTAAAAAAAAAATCATTATCTCAAAATGAAATTTTAGATGTGAAACTTACTTTAAGTTTAACAGAAGTTCTTTTGCGTATCCACTTTTCGCGGGGCTGGGTTGGATGAAAACCAGTTGTGTCTTTTTCTTCACCAGTACCAGATCCTCCAAATTCAAACCTACCAACCTGTAAAAAATGTTGAAATTGTTATTTATTCATGTTGATGATAAGTAAATGTTTTTAGAAGAGAAGTTGGACTTAGGCGTTCATTCAAAAATACAAAATATAAATAAATGAATAATATTTATTTAATTTTATTTTGTATTTGTTACACCCCAACTAACTTCTCTTTAATTTTCACTAAAGTCAATCATTAATCCAATTTTAGTAATTGTTTTTATTATAAATTGAATATATTAATAAAATATAATATGATTTTTTTTAGATCACAGAGATTTAATAAACAATCCATGTTAATAATTTCTAATGGTGTTTGAAGAAAAAGCAAAGAAAGTAAAACTATTTTTTTTTTTTTTCAAGAAGATTAGTCCTGCAGCCAGTAGCAAAAAGGTGTCATATTTCATACTAAGATTTGTTCTCATAAATTGACCATATCCACAGGCCTGATAAGAAAAATGCACGTCTGCCAGCACATAGCCACTGAAATACAAAATGGCGGCCTTGTGAAGATAGATAGAGACTCTACATAGGTTGTAAGCGTATCTATAGGGAGGTCTTATTGGTATAAAAAAAGCTACCAATCCTTTCAATTTACAGTATTTACAGCCTTAAGACATGAAATAATAGTCAGTTACCTCATACCCGTGGATTTCAATAATATACATTATATACATATATACTGTCTTACATACAGGTTTAGAGCTGTGTAATATCGAAAATTGGGAGAGTAAGTTTTTCTGTATAGTTTCTGAGTTAAATGATTAAGTTATAATTGCTCTAACCTTTGAATGGTTGAAAATAAGATAGTAAAGTAATATATATATTCTTGAAGAAAATTTAATATTGAACAAATTTCATCCCTGTGACTTTATCATAAAATGAAAAGATAAAGAGTTGGTGAGTCAAATAAAGATAAAAATGTGATGCAAAAGATTTTTTTTCTCAGAATTAGTGAATTACGAGAACGTATATCATGGAAGCTATAGAATATACCAGAAAAAACTAATATAACCATTTCCATTGGAAATTTATCAGCTTTAATTTCACATATGACATTATTATAGATATAACACATAGTTTCATTAATCTAAGCGAAAAACTGAAAAACGTAAACTTTTCGAATTGTAAATCAGTTTTTCCACTTGAAATCCACAAATATGGGGTAACTGACTATTATTTCATGTCTAAAGACTGTAAATACTATAAATTGAAAGGATTGGTAGCTTTTTTATACCAATAAGCCCTCCCTATATATACGCTTACAACCTATGTAGAGTCTCTATCTATCTTCACAAGGTTGCCATTTTGTATTCCAGCGGCTATATGCTGACAGACGTGCATTTTTTCCATCAGGACTGTGGATATGGTCAATTTATAAGAACAAATCTTAGTATGAAATGAAACTTTTTTTTTGCCATGGGCTTCGGGACTAGATGGTTCTGGAGTTAATCAGAAAAAAAAATCAAATAATTGCTAATTATTTATTTAATGCCAACATTTCAAACATTTTAGATCTTGATCAGGACAGAGAGCAAAAATAAATGTCTTGGAAATAATTTTTACTTTCCTTTACCTTTATATGAATGTATGGTAATAAATTAAATGTTTAGTATTGGAAAGTATTATGATCTTGAAAAATTTGAAGCCGAGTTTTCAAAGGAAATATATGTTTTGAGATCTCCTGAGTCAAAATGGCCAAGTGTTGCCAATATGGTCTGTATGTAACTTGAAAACAAAGTCATACAAAACTTTACATATTTAAGGTTTTTATATGCCTGCGATGTTACAGCAATATTTTGGTCAAAATCAACTAACTGAAAGTGGCACTTTATATAATCGATTGTACACATTTTTACAATTTCCTTGAAAAGGGCTGTAATGATTTTGATTAAACTTGTTAGATCAATATATCATAAAATGATTTTTACCTTAAGATAGGTCTTGTTCTGATATATGTTCTCTAATAGGGCTTAAATACCGTTTTTTCAAAATTTCTTCATCTGAAGTACCTTTAATTTTGTTTATTTAATGTAATAAACCATTACATATTGTAAATACTATTATAAAACATTTTATAATACATTGATTTAAGGAGTTCAATCAAAATCATTAGAGCCATTTTCGAGAAAATTGTAAAAATCTGTACAATTGATTATATAAAGTGCCACTTTCGGTTAGCAGATTTTGACAAAAACATTGCTGTAACATCGCAGGCACGTAAAAACCTTAAATATGTTAAGTTTTGTACGACTTTGTTTTTAAGTTAGACCGTTTACTTACACACAGAAGCAGACAATTTGGCAACATTTGGCTATTTGGACTCAGGAGATCTCAAAATTTCATCCTCTGAAGTACCTTTAATTTTGTTTATTTAATGCAATTAACTATTACATATTGTAAATACTAATATAAAACAGATAAATACAAATTGTGAAGAAATTCGATAATTCAATAAAGGAGAAATAAGGGTTAGTACTCGTGAATAGAAACTGTTAAAGCGGTAATAGCCGAGGGTGTCCTCCATTTAATCCTTCATTTAAACTACTTATGTCTGTATAAGAGTATTTTATTGTTATTTATTGTTAGTTTAACTGATAAAATTAGTTTCGTTTACACATAGTTATCAAAAAAATTTTCATGCTAACTGTCAAGGCAATATATCTACCAATGTTGAGTCTTTGTTTCAATGTTTGGATGAAGCTCAGAATTTTAACTAAAGATCCACTTTACTTCTTATTAATTTAAATTTTTTTTTTTTAAATTCAACTAGTAGCAAGCGATTATTTTTTAAGATAGGTCTATTTCCTTTATTCTATATTTTATATAATAATGTATTTATTTCAAATTAGTATGTTATATAGTCTATATTTTTTACTTCCCAACATATGAAAACATGTTATTCTATAAGAAAGGTATGCGCGCACCACACCAGATTTTTTTATTCCATAAAACTTAAGTATAGTGGAGAATTTCTCTTTTAAAATTCAGCGATTCAATTATACCTGTCTAAGGATGAAGGCTATGACATCAGATGACTCCCAAAAGCTGGCATGGAATAGGTGAGGCAATGCATTCGTCGGGAAATTCGCAAGGCCTTCGGGACAGTACAGAGCGTAGTCCAAACGCTTCGTTCCCCACCATTTCTGCCTCACTGCAATATTGACAAGAGTTTTCTTAATAAGTAATGAGCAAGTAGATATAATAGGATAATATTGAACTTAAATAAAAAAAAAATAAAAAATTGAAACGTACGAGAATTAATAGTGTGATACGGCAGAGTATCCACTACCCCGGAGACAGTGCTTTGTATGCTAACTTCTGACAGCCTTCTCAGATGAGATACAGGAGGCGGGCCCACTGTCAATCCTTCTGAGAAAATCTGAGGGTTACTTTGAACCACTTCGACTGAAACACCATAGTTAATTAATACAAGCGAGTAAAGAATTGAACAATAGAAAGAAATTGGATGTTATAATTGAAAAACCCAACCACTAAGCCATGTGCCTATAAAAAACAAACTAATCCTTCAATGTTTCATCAATTCAAGCATCTTCAGGTTAGTTATGTCAAATTATAATCCAAAAAAATATCCATCCACACAGTGTTGTCTCTAAAATTCAGATAAAAAACTAACTCTTCAATGTTTCATCAATTCAGGCATCTTCAGATTAGCTGGTTTTTTTATCTATAATTTAGATACATAAGGCTGTGTGGTTAATTTTTTTGGTACTTATTTAATAGCGGGTAGCGTCAAAACCTCCCTTCTTATCTAATCTCATTTCACATAACCTCCCTTATCTCATCTAACCTAAGTTATTCCCTTGTTTATTTTTTGTTTCTTGTGTTAGCTGTGAGTTAGTGTTATTTAATTATGGATGTTGTCACATTGTGGGAATTGCCGTCTTCAGAAGAAGAGGCTATAAAATATTTTCAAGACGCCGGGATATTTGCAAAGGTCAAATATTGTGATGAAGGTCATCAAATGAAGTTCGACGGGAAGATTAAATGGAGATGCTTTCGTAGTTGTAACAAAACCGTTTCTATAAGGAAAGGAACGTGGATAGAGGGGTCGAGGATTTATTTTAACGGCTTTAAAATTCATTTATGGGTGGTCCCATAATTTAACAACATTACAGTGGGGGAAAGAGCAGCTCAAACTATCGAACACAACTATCGTAACATGGAACAAATTTTTAAGAGAAGCTTGTGCCCATGACATGTTATAGAGATCGAATAAAAAAATTCGAGGGCCTGGCAAAGTCGTCGAGTCTTTTTTCGAAAAGAAAAAATCATGTAGGGAGAGTCCTACCTGAGCAATGGTATAAATTGTTCACAATTTCATTAATATCAATACAATACAATAAATATGAATACGAAGATATAATAATATGAATATAATAAAATAAATATGAATACGATGAGCTTATCAGTGTTAAGGTTGCAAACATTGGCACATAGCAGTCAGACGCTACCCTCTATTAAATAAGTACCATTTTTTTTTTTATTATAACTTGACATAGTTAATTATATTAATACTTGATTCAAATAAAATAAAAATCACTATTCTGCAACAAAGGGACTAACATTGAGAAATATGTTTACTTACGGAGGTGGTACGGCTGACCTGATCCAAGAGGATAGTTTTGGAAACGCGGTATATTAACAGGAGGTAAAAGTGAAAATCTAGCAGATAATAATGGTTCAAGTCTTCCCGCTACTGGATCTGTAGGATGAAATAGATTGTAAACTTGAGAAGCAGCTGGACGGCATATCGGATCTGTAAAAAAAATAAATACATAAAATTAAAAATGAAAAAAATAATATTATCAAAAATTACTATAACGGGATCTAGTGTTTTTTTTTTTTAATCATTCATATTTTAAGTTAAGCTTACTTGATTTTTCATCTGAAGCTAATTTTCTATAGGCCAGTACAAGAGACAATGGACTTCCAAACATGAAAAAATCATTAACTTCAAACTCTAATTTGATAAGTCCGCTTTGCTCACTAGAAATAAAATTCCAATATAAATAACTTCATAAGCTTTATCAATAAAAGGATAAAAAGGTATGCTAATTTTTTGATAAATAAGACTGTCACAGGTCAACTTTAGATTTTTAGATATTTTTGAAATTTTGTGGTATTAAGAATTATAGTATTAAAAAAATAAATGAACAGTATCTAACATAAAGAAACCAATCTACATAGTACATGTTTTGAATAAATTGAATTCAAAATTAATACCAATAGATTGATCAAAAACTAACTTCATTGTGGTTTTGTTCTTTTTCTTTTTTTAATAAAGAAAACATTCTATTTTCTAAATTTTATTTCAACTTCTATTTTCTATTTAAGATAAATGAACTAAGAGATGGTTCTTTTCTTTTAAAAATAGAAGCAATAATTCATTCAAAACCATTTCTGTATATTTTGTGGATTAGTTCCCTTTTTGCTAAATGCCATCAAAATAAATTTTTGAAAAAACAATGAGACATAAAAATTCTTTTTCCCTCACCTAGTTGAAGAGGAACGCCTTCTGAATACTGGTGCCATTAATTTTCCATCATTACTAACTTCTGGCAATACAAAAAAAGCAGGTGATTAGTTACCCATTAATTATAAACTATTTTTAATAATATAAATACTTTTTAAAACCTATCTTTTTAATGTACACCTTTTATTATTAAACGGTATATCACACTTTTTCCATTACAATATAAAACATGTCTGCCAATCAGGGTCAATAAAGATTGCGTCTGATTTTAATTAGACTGGTCGAGTGGAGTAACTTTGTCCCAAACCTGATTGTTGAGGAATCAATGTTAAAGCAAATTGAAAACTTGAGATTGCACAATTCTTTCAAGGGCTTTTGAGAGGTTGGAAAAGATTGAGGCTGAGCAGAAATCTTCGGGAGAAATAGGTTTAGAATTTTAATTAAAGGATTAAGAATGCCTTTTTTTTCAAATGGTTGGAAATACTAAATTTTGGAGAGAGAAATTATAGATGAAAAGGAGAGCCAGAAAGGTTTCAGGGAGGTATAATTTGATTAATTTGACAGCAAAGCTATCTGAGCCAGTTGAGATGGAACATAATTTCATCACAGCGGATATGACGTCTAAATTTGTAATGTTGGAAAAATAAAAGTCATTGCCGTTAAAAAATGTACTAGGAGAAAATCAGAGGAGGGGTGAGGGTATGGTATAGAAGCGGAAGAGGAGACGGATATAAAGTGTGAAATAAAATCATCTGCTGAAACTGGAAAGACTACCGCCTATTTATATACATTCTTCCCAAAAATTTTTTATAAACAGAAGAAAAAGATACTGAAATATCTAGGCTTTGCTATTTATATAAAGGTTATAGTTTATAATCTTATAAGTATGACAATTTTCGTTTACCTGCGCTATTATCGGCATCTTGACCTTCGTTGTCTCCTTGTTTTACAGAAGACCTACAAAGAGCATCATAGGCTAGAATTGAACCCATTGAATCACCTGGAAAATAACGATCATTACTGTTATAATACAGTAACCAAATTTCAGAATAGTTGATATTACAATTTAAAAAATAACATCCCTCTCTTTTCCCTCCTCCTAATTTAAGAGAGACATTGTTCTAGATCATCTCTGATCTGTTCCATTTAAAACTACGAAAAAAATATTTAACATGGAAAAACTTAATCCATATTTTATAAAATTAAAGAAAATCATTAATTATTATTTTTAATTATCATTCAACTTGTTTTCTATTATTTGAATAAAAATTAAAAAAAAAATTCAAGCTTTTTTTTAGTCAGTAGTTTTTTAAAATTTCAATACTAAACCAAATGTATTTATACTAATATTGTGATATCTGAAAACAACGATTTCACTACAAAAAAAAAATCACAAAAACATATTTAATAATTATATATATATATATATATATATATATTTTTTTTTTTTTGTACTGGTACAAAAATGTCACATGTGGTTAACAGAGATCAAGATCACATCGATCACACTGTACACGAAATTTCAAAAGTTGCCAAGTGTTTCTGAATGAATACAGGGGTCATCGATCTCCACTAAGGTCCTAGCCTCAAAAAAGACCCCTTATCCCTTTAGCAAGTTCACGTGTTAACATAGTTGTCTACACGGCTATTTTTGGAATTCTATCTACAGTGTAATCGATGTGATCCCAACCCACCAGTCAGCCAGATGCAACACTTGGGTAAAAGTATTTATTTAAACCAGTAGATATAAGATAAAATTAGAATGAAATGATAATACTACACTATCATAAAAGGAAAGATCTGCATAATATTCCTACCATAACTAGCCAACAAACAAAATGGATCAGATCCAACATTGCAATTTATCTCTTATGCTTTTAACTTGGCAATCAATTATTATTAAAGTTAAACAAATAAAAAAAATAATAAAGCATAAGTAAATACCTATAAGTACAACTTGGCCACAAAAACCGATTCCATCTGATTTTCTAAACTCATGATAGGTTGCATTGGCATTTTGAATGGTCTTGTTAACAAGATCAGTGTATTCCGAAGTACACGTTGACAGAAGAGGAACTGCTCCTAACGGCACTGAATCATGTGTGATAACGGGAGCGTCGCCTGCAGAAGGCGATACATCAAAGCTGTAAGGGCTGACCCTGAAAAGAAATAAAGGGGGGTTAAAAAATAATGCTACATTGTTTTTGTATCTTGTTTATATAGCTCTGACAAAAACTTGCAAATCGGGTAGAATCATTTTTTTTTGCAAATTAAAGAACACATCAACTCATTAAAGAAAACAGGTTCAGGAAACCAAGCAACAAGAAAGCACATACATATACACATACTAATGTAGCTAAAATAAGCAAATCTTATTCTGGACCAACTCCCAGACAATCATCTTGAAGCAGAAAAGCTGCAGTTTATCTTGTACAGTATGCAGAAAAATAATAGATAGTGTGCATGTGATAACATATATTTATAAAAATAGAAATATGTGAATCGCGTGTGATTTTTATTTTATATATAGATATTTTATTTTTGTCAAATAAAGGATTCTAATAAGAGGTATTACTTTCATTATGCTTTGATTAATGCAAAACCATGTAAATGACCTGATGATGAGGGTAATCATAAGGTTCCAAGTTGGGTGGCAGGCGTGGTTTAAAAAACTATAAGTGTTTATTACATTCATTAAAATTAATATATAATAACAAAATAAATTATCTTAAGATTCGACAAAAAAAATTAATTTAAGATTTGATTTACCCGGAAAGTATAGAGAGAGCATCAGACGTAATTGAAGGACAGGCGACCAGTCTCACCGTAACATGTCCAATCAGGCTAGCGTAGTGAGACCTCATAACAGCTTCAAGGGCACCCCTGAATGTTGTTATATCAGATTTCTTAGCCATAAGTTCCACATTAGCATCTGAAAATGTAAAATTTATCAGTACATCAGAAACTCCATCTCAAAATTTAAAAATGAATTAAAAATAAAATCCCATGAAAAAAATAAATGTTTCAAAAGTAAAAAAAAAAACAGAAACCAATCTATTGCAAGTATACAAAATAAGGTGAAAAGTTTGTTGGAATAGAAATACAAACAAATGAACCTTTATATTAAATAAAATTGTATTTTTCAAATTTTTTTTTTTTTTGTAACCCTTTAGTTGCCAAGGGCGTGCCAGGAGATTTGATTGAGGCCATGAAATCAACCTACCAGGGAGACACTGGGGTCGTAAGGATAAATGGCACAGAATCAGAACCTTTCCCAATTGCGAGAAGAGTCAGACAGGGAGATAGTTTAAGCCCCCTCCTGTTTATAAACTTTATGGACGAGATCCATAAAATCTGCAAGCGTCGGACTGCATGGACTACAATTGGAAACTGGAATATGAGAACTGTCCTCGTACAGAGCTTTTTATATGCGGATGACATTGTGCTAATAGCCGATTCCAAGATGAAACTATAGTAAGCACTGGTAGAATGGGAGGAGGAGCTGCTAAGGAAAGGTATGCAAATAAATGCCTCTAAAAGTAAAGTGATGATTATAGTGAGAGAAGAAGAGGAAGACGTCCAATTGGTTTGCAATGGAGAAATTCTTGGGATAGTAAAGGAGTACACCTACTTAGGTACCATAATTACTAACTCTGGTAAGATAGATGCTGAGATTTCGTATAGAATATCTAAGGCAAATCAAGTATATCACCAGTTCGCTAGCAGTATCCTCAGCTTGCGTGAAGTAGATAAAAATACCAAGATGCATGTCTATAAATCTGTATACCTTCCTATTCTCACCTACGGCGAGAGAAAGCTGGACTATGTTGGAAAAACATTATAGTCCCATAACAGCAGCGGAAATGCGGTTCCTACGTAGATGGGTGGGAAAAAGCAGGAGGGATCGCATTAGAAATTTAACTATCAGAGAACAGCTGGAAGTGCCTGAACTCAAAACCACCTTGGAGAACAGGCAATTAAGGTGATTTGGACATGACAGCTGCATGAACGAGGAAATGGACAATTTAAAGATATTAGAGGCTCGACCCACAGAGAAGAGACCATGAGGGCATCCCAGAATCTCATATCAGGAGTTCATGGAGAGGATCGGAGGTAGAAGAGGCAAATCCTTCAACCAAATGGAGCGGTTAAGCAGAGACCGGGAAGGGTGGATGCGCTGGATAGAGGCTCCTCGACGCTAGAAATGGCATTGTGAGGAAGACAAAGAAGAAGAAGAAAATTGTATTTTTGTTTTCTGTAAGTTTTCTAGTCCATCTTGAGCTTTTACTTTCCAGTTATCTGCTTGCAACTCTACAATATCTTTGTTAATTCAATCAATCCATCTGGTTTTTTTTATTTCCACGTGCTCTCTTGCTTACTATTGAAGTATTCATTGTATAGTGGCATCCTGATGGATTATTGCGAGCTACATTCCCTTCATAACCTCCTTACCTACATAACATGAATAAATAGACCAATTTCTGTAAGCAGCTCTTTATGGATGCTTTTCCTTCAAGCTTTAGTAGTCCTCAGATCCCAGATCACTCTGGTTATTATCTTATTGATAAGAGTAGTTTTTCATTAACTTTAGCGTAGTATGTCTTCCTGACAATACAATTATTGCTAGTTAAGTTTTTTCTTTTAATATATGCAGGTTTATTCTAAACACCTGAGGTCTAAGATCTAACATCTATTTTATGATACTATTTATTAATTTTTCAAGTTTTTCTGTTGCCTTTTTCATTTCTAAGATATTTAGTCCATTGACATAATAATGATAATGCTCATTAATTGACATTAATGATAAAACATTAATTTTAATAACACCTTTTATTGCAAAATATTTTTTAAAATGTATATTATTCATACATGGAAAAAATTACAAAGGGAAGGTGGGTAATTGGATACCTAAATTCTGTATTATGGAACAAGCAAGCCTCCAAAAAAAAAAAAGCAATACTATTCCTTTTTGGAAAGTGTATACTATATGGATCTGAAAAGTGGGTGGTCTCTAAAAAGGAGGAGACAAGGTAAGTATCATTGTAAATGGACTTTTGGAGATGCTGTTGCGCCATTACTAGACTGCAGCATGTTCTTAAGAAAATGCGGAATGTTCAGCAGCAACAACCAGCAGCAGCAGCAACAACTATGCTCTATGATATAGAAACAAAAAGGCTGAAAATGTATGGCGATTTACAAAGACAAAGAATGAAAGAGGATCAATGGCCAAAATTGAACTTTCTCTATCAACCGATAGAAAGGTGAAAAAGAGGAGAACCAAGGAAGAGATGGTTGCAAGATGTGGAGGAAGGCGTGGCTGCCAAAAGTCTTTGAGAGGGATACTGGCTAGATAGGAAGAAGTGACAAGAACTTTTGGGAACATAAACAACTAAGGTGTAAAAAATTGTTTAAAAAAATATATATATACCTAATAGACTGCCGGCATGTAGAACAAGGATGAGGACAGAAATCGGACAGCTTTTATGAGGACTTGAGACCGAAAGCGTTGGCGAGCCTGGGTTAGCTTGATCAACGCTCTTTCCTCTTTCGACAAGTGACGATTTCAGGTACCTTTGTGAGAAGATGCTATCATCTGAAAAAAAAAAAAATCAAAATTTGTTCCTTTAATATTGATCTCATTCAATGACAGGATATAAGTTATTTAAATAATTTACTTTTTAGGATAAAGTATAATAGAAACTTTATCTAAGCAAGCTAATGGTAATCAGAATAACAGCAAAAATAACTTACCGTGACTTTCTATGATAACATTTGGCGAAGAATCCAAGTCTTCTTCCGCAAGCAGATCAAGAGAGCTCCACTTGGCCAATGAAGCCGAGTTTTCTTCCTCATCTGATATAATTAACAGTAATCATTAATAAATAAAAAGAAAAAAAAAATGGAAAGAGATTATGATTCAACCAAAAAAAACAAACAGAATTGTTAAAATAACTTTGAGGTAGGCTAGAGCTTTAATGAAATTAAACCAAAAAGTTAAAAGACCACAAACATTGAGTCTATGACTCCTCTACATTCTGAATGAAAATATCAAGTTTTTTCTCTTTTATTTAATGTCAAAATCAAAATGTTCAAAATCCATCCAGAGATGGAAATTTTGTTAACTTTTTTAAAAATAGATAAATAAATGATAAATAATCTCGATTTGCAGTAAAAATTCATTTCAACTCAAGCATTTGGTAATCAGGAAAATGGTTACTAGAAATTAACCATTACCCTAATGATGAGCAACATCCTTGGGTCAAAAAATTGTAACCTCAATTCTGATTATTTAGCATCTTCATAATAATTAATTTTAAAAAAATATTAAACTAATTTAAAAAATTGGATTATTTTTGTCACAATTCACAATTTTTAACGTCTATATATGCTCAGAAATGTGGCAACTCTTTTCCAATACCTGGAAAATGTATTGATACTCTTGTGATCATCATTTGGTCCAGTCTTTTAAAAATAAGTTTTCTCCTCCTTGAAAATGGCCTAAAGATCTGAAATGTTGGGCGAAAGAAAAAATAATAGGACTTAAGGACCAAATATATTGTTTTATTATTAGAAATAGAATTCAAGTCCTAACCAAATATATTAAAAGATGTATTGAAAAAAAAAATGTATATAAAATTACCTTGACAATCAAAAAATTCCTCATCATCTGACGGAGATTCACTATCCCTCACAATACTTTCCATTCGCCAACTAATAGATGAGTTAATAGAAGTTCTATCAGTTGGAGAAGGAAGATTTTCTTTTGATCTATAATGCTTTTTCCCACAAGATCTAAATAAAATAATAATCCATAATAAAATACAAACCATTTAGACAGTTTATATAAAATAACTTTTGAATAGAACCATAAGTAAAGAAACATCAATCAAACTCAATATGTACGCTTACCTATGGGACAGCGACGGAGAAGGTTCGGGACTTCCGTCTGATGACTCTGGTTCTATAGTGCGGTGTTTTGGTAAAGGGCTAGAATTTTCAGGTTTCTCTATACTACCTAGGTTAGCTGCGAGTGTACTACTGCCGTCATCGGGAGCCGACAAAGTGCACACATTCCCACTGCTCCCGGTACCACCTGCTAAAAATCATTCTTTAATTCTTTACTTGTAGACAGTTGTTCATAAAAATGTATATTATGGATTATAAAAATTAGTCAAAATAACCAAAAAATGAATCCAGTCTGAAACAAGTGGAATAAAAATAAGATGGAACCCATCCACTCAAAAACTTAATTTTTAATAGGATATTATTTGCAAGTTTCCAAAACTAAGCCGACTAAATCTCTCAAATAACAATAAATAACTTTCCATTAGTTTAATAAACTACTGGATGAGAGTCAGAATCTCCAGCTCATGTGTTGGGCAAATATCCGAGTAACATATTCCTTGTCACCCGCCGATGCAATGATATAAATCATCGAATTGCCGAATTCCTGGAGAAAAAGTATATTGTCGTGATACGGAAGGCTCAGCGAGATTCCGTGCCTACCGGAGAAATATAGAGAGGAATTTGGTGAGAGAGAATTTTCATTTCGAGGACTTTAGTTCAGAATTAGAGGAGCAATTTCACTTTCAACTGCTGATTTCTTGAACAAGTTGGATGTGGAAAGGAGCCATCTGCAGAGAATGGCAGAATCTATTATTGTGGACTCATAAGGAATCCTGCACCACCATACTTATCTAAATTCTAGCTACTGCATTATGAGCTCTACGGATAGAAGTGGGAAGGAAAAAATTATAGCAATGAATGAATAAATTATAACGTTCGGTACTTTGGATGATAGTCCCGCCCACAGAGCTTTATCCCTTTCGACAAAATATTGTCGATGTGGCTGATCGCTCAACATAGTTAAGCAGCTGCACAGTTTATTGCACTTCTCTCTCCAGCAAATATTTTACTAATTCAGGTATCATCTAGCGAGAAAAATAAAATAAAAAAGTTCAGACTTTGTTAAAAATTAAATACACATACACATCTCAATATATATATATATATAACATTGAACAGCCTAAGAATGAAGCAATATTTGTTGTCTTATATAGCTGCTAATGCAAGATGTCAATATCACATGCGCCAAGAACAGAGATAAATTTTTTTTCCCATCCTACCTAGCCATTTCTGGCATATGGGTTTTACATTTAAGTACCATAAAGTACTTGGATATGAGATTACTATTACCCTACAACTCTAAGCCTTCTTACATGTTCATTTTAACAACAGTTTTTATTTAATCCTAATTAGATTAAAAAGAATGGTATTAAAACCCGAAAGTTAGATGGCAATACCATCGATTTGTTTACATATCTTCATCCACCCACTGCTGTCTAAGCCTGAATCTGCAAGATCAGCCATAACGCAATTCCACCTTCTCTTTGGTCTACCTCTTGGGTACTTACCAGTTGGGACAGCAAATATTACCCTTTTAGGGATTCATTCACTACCAAGTCTAATAATTTTACACACCCATTTTATAGCTGCAAAGATTAACTATATTCATCATCATCATAATCCTTTCTCTATCTACCGCTGAGCAGTGTGGGGATGTGCTCTATAGAGCTTGACTCATGTGTCCCTCTCCTGTACCAGCACTCTCCTCCTGCTCCAGTCCAGCCTTCGCTTCATGCACGCCTTCTTCCCAGGTGATCCATGGTCTTCCTCTTGGTCTTCTACCGTCCACTCTTGTCTCATAAGTTATCCTGGCCATTCTTTCCATGTTCATCCTTAGGAGGTGCCCGAACCATCTAAGTTTATTCTCTTCTAGAGTGGTTTCTACCGGCTGCATCTCGAGGTTTGATCTTATTGTCATGTTGTGGATCCTATCTCTCCTAGTCTTTCCCTCAACTTTTCTTAGGTACCTCATTTCCATTGTCTGGATCTACCCCTTGTGTTTTGAGGCAAGGGTCCATGATTGGGAGGAGAGTAAGAGAGGATAGGCAGGAAAGTTGACTTGTAAACGGATATCTTAGTTTTCTTCGTCACTTCTCTTTTGTTGAGGAAACCTTTCCGGCTTGAGTAGAACATTCTTCCAGCTGCTCCCAGCCTTTGCGACACCTATCCATCGATATAGCCACTTTCATTGATGCATGCACCCAGATATTTGAAATCCTGCACCTGTTCCAGGATCTGTCCTTTCAACCTCAATATTCTCATAACTCAGTGGGGACGTCTACCTATTCTCATGCATTTTGTCTTCTGTGGATTAAAATCCATGTTAATGCTAGACAGCTCTTCTTGCATGATATTTAACTATATTCACTGGGTATAATTCATGCCGGTAGACTCATCCTCCTTCGGTCCAAATAATTTGTGCAATACTTTATTTTCGATAAACCTAAGCCATTGTTCATCCCTTAATGTAAGCAGCCACGTCAGTAAAAATAATAATTTTTATTTTTAGTTCCAAAATGAACTAAAACATAAGCAAGGAACCTTTTTATCATTAGAGAGCACCATAAGGTTAGGCAGTGCTAATGGAGGACACAATAATTCTTTATATTTTACTGTTGCTATTTTTATTTATCACTAAATACACACATACACATACATACATTCAACCTTATGCTATTAATTTCCAAATTGTCGGTACTTAAATAATTAAATATTAATTAATTCTGTGAATAGATTAATAAATATTGCAAAAAAGCGTCTGGAGGCCACATGCGGCCTCCGGGGAAGCAGTTCCCCACCTGTTATAGATCTAATATTAGATATATATATATATATCTAATATTAGATCATCCAACATATATATATATATGTCAAAGATCTAGAAATATCAATGAGGAGATTGAAATTCTTTGGTCACATGAAGAAAATGAGTAATGATAGGATGAGCAAACAGGTAATAGGACTGAAGAACATCAAATGAACAAATAAAGGAGGAAATACTAAATAAAAGAAGTATTAAATAAAGGAAATACTAAATAAAAGAAGATTAATACTTAGATAGGGATAAATTCAGGAGAACAGTGAATAAGATGAAGATACTTGGAGTAGAAAAGGGCAAAAAGGATTAAAGGAAATGGAGAGAATGGAAAAAGGAAAGAAGTAAAAACATAAAGAAAATTTGGGCTAAAAGGAAAGCCAAGAAATAATGATATACACATCGTCCTCAGCTGGCGAGCAAGCTAGTATAATAGCTATTGAACTTAGTGTAGCTTAGCTTGATAGCCTTGTGGATGTCTGCTGTTCTTAGCAATAGGTGGGTATTAAATAGTGACCAAGCAACTCTATTATTATAGATGAGACCTGTCAGTCTACTGGAGACAATTGACCCCGAGCATAGAGCCAGAGACAAAACATCAATTGATATCAACCTGAATGGAAGTTGTCATTTGACAACATAAGATGGCAAAGGAATGTAAGCTTAGAAAGCAATAAAAAAAAATAAATTAAAGTACATGTATTTTGTACAAGATTTTTATACGTAATAAATAGCAATCATTAACAAATAGTATATTTTTTATATGTACTTGAAATGAGATCACACTTTATGAGAATGTTTATATACTTATTAAAAAGGAATAAATAGATAAGATATCTTTGAATAAACAATCAATTCAATACTTCAGTAAAACAATTAAGAAACTAGTATAAACCAGTTTGAACAAGTCTAATATTGGATGCCAAGCCTTTGTTAGCAATCCTCTTGCAGTGAGTCTCTAGACTTTGTGTTGTAAAGATGTCATAATATTTTGAGATTTTTGACGTACAGAATTTTGTGATTAATTAAAAAAAAATAATAGTTAAGTAGTCAGAAAGCAAATCAACGTGTTTTGTTAGAGAGAGAGGAGAACCAAAAACATTAAACTGAAGAAAATCCGTTTTTGTATTACATAAGTGCAAGATGAAGCCTCCAGTCCTAAAAGTCCAGATGCATTTGAAAATATTTTTGAAGAATTATAAACAAAGGTACGATTGTAATAGTAAGAACGAAAGAGATAATCATGAAAAGAAAAGTTTGATAGATTCGAAAAGATGTTTCAACCAATTCATATCAAATGAAACCTAACCTCTTTGTAAGCCAAAACAAAAAGAGTATTTTAAACATCATTGTGATCAGTTTCTCAGTTAAATTTATGCAAAATTAAATGAATATTTTGAGAAAGTGGCCCAGTTCAAGTATTAATTTAATTAAGCACTGGTGACTCAAGACAGTGCACCTGAGGTAGAGCTCGAGAAAAGAATATTGGAGGCCAACAAGTATTACTTTGGCCTTCGCAAGAAATTCATCTGTCGCCTTCTATCTTGCAAGCCAAGATCCATCTTTACAAAACATTAATCCACCCAGTCCTGTTGTGTGCATACAAAACATGGACGACAACTAAAAAAAAAAAACGAGAAGATCTAGTATTCTTTGGAGGGTAAAAATTGATGGAAATTAGAGAAGATGGGAAAACATCAAAATTTACAAATAGGTCTTAATATAGTCATGTATATGGGTCTTTTGTAATTAATTGGAAGCTTCGAGCATTTGTCTGGTAAGTGCTGAGGTAGTTGAGCTGTTTTTTTGTTGTTTCAGTCTAGTATGAGGATACAATAATCCAAGTTAGACGTTTGTCCAAGTGGAGTCCAATTTCCAGGATTTGCTCAACAGGGATAAGTGAGGTATTGTTAAAGGATACCGAAAGAAAGAAATTCATAGGTTTAGAAAAAAATACTTAAGTTAAGCGTTTCTTCTTTATTTATTAAGTTACTTAATTAACCATCCTCACAATTTTGTTAATAGTTTAAGGGAGAATGAAATAAGGTAATGTGTAACATCTAGGATTTTGTTGTAGTTCATCTTTGCATTTTTAGTCAGGCTTGCAGTAATTGGAACATTCAACTTGGTTATAGTTCATTAGGTTTTTTTTTTTTTTTTTACTTTTTATAAAATCCAACAGTGCAGCATTTACCAGAGAAAACATTATAAAAATATGAAAAAGGTTGTGACTATGTTATGTCAATGTGACAAGCACATTTGTTTTCTTAACATCTGGGATATCATTACGGTGAGTCTAGTTGTACATTCAGCTGAAGAATAACGATCAATAACGGTTATTAACAGAACAATTTATTACTTCGAGTAACTGT